TGAAATCTGGATTCTGAGAATGCCAGTTTCCTTAAAATTCTACGTCGGTGCGGTCTTTTTCTTATCCGGGTCCGCTAAATATCTAGACCGGCCAACATAGTCTACAAAGAGACGCAAAATGCTCTCAAGAAGCAACTCCTGGAAGCTGTCCCCGACACCTTCACAAAGATTCTCAAGCATGAAATGTATGGATATGCCCAAGTTACCGTCCTTGCAATCCTAACCCATCTCGACACTACCTACGGAACAGTACATGCCGATGACCTCGAGGACAATTGGGACCGAATGCATGCAGCTTGGAGCCCAACACAGCCCATCGAAGATCTCTACAATCAGATCAAGGATGCGCAGAAGTTTGCACGTGACCATGACGCCAGTACGGACAAAATGGCAGTCCGTGCCGCGATCAAGAACCTTACCAAGAGTGGGGTATTCATGGACGCCATTAAGGACTGGAGAAAGAAAACAATTGTGGAACAGGAATCGTTCGAAACGCTACAGACGCACTTCACTTCAGCCGACAAAGAACGCCGTCGCATCCTCACTACAAAAGAAGTTGGCTATGCCAACAAGGCCGTCGAAACTCCCATTACCAAAAGCTACATGACGAAAGGAAGCCCAGATGGCGTCCCGATGTATTATTGCTGGTCGCATGGCCTTGGCCCCAACAGCAAACACACCAGCAACACGTGCACCAAAAAACTCCCCGGACACAAAAATGAAGCAACATCCGACCAAATGTTTGGAGGATGCTGTGTCATTCGTCGCCGTGCTGGAGAGAAACCGGTCTACCGCAAGCCCCAGCGTCAAAGCAGGGAAAACGAGGAGAATCAGCAACCCAATGGACAAACTTGAGCCCGAAGGGAGCCATTTGCATCCGTATTAAGAACAACACCAACAACAAAATCTCGAGTAGCGTTTAAGCAACCACTTATAGATAAGGAATTAACAGAAAAAATACAAATGAATGGTCCCCCGACAGCACCTATAGTTGAAGCAGCACAGCCCGACCATGAAGAAAGTCCACTCGTTGCAGATACAGGCAGCACAGGACACTTTCTATCCACGGACTTTATAGCCATCAACAATGAAAACATTACAGACATCCGTCTAGACGAAAACCCCATACGAGTCACACTTCCCGATAACTCCATCATCCTATCCACTCATACGTGCCATCTGGATCTACCCAATCTTCCGAAAGCAGCCACAAAAGCGTATCTATTTCCCTCCTTAGGAGCAACCTCTCTCCTGTCAATCGGCAACCTATGCGACGCAGGATGTGAAGCAATCTTTCGAGCACACGAATGCTTGATCTCCTTTATGGGAGATGTCATCCTTACAGGACAACGAAATATCACCACGAACAACTTATGGCAAATACAGCTAAACAATACCACACATCAAGCCAATCTTATGGCAACCACCCTACAGCAACACCAGCAGACTTGGCCCTTCATCTGGCATCACTCCGGTTTCACCCTTCGCCCATTTTCGGTACTAGAGTACCGATGATGGCTGGTTCCAAACAGACACGTTGGCTGTCAAAACTTACAGTAATTAGACTAGCTAATCAGTGTAAACGCAGAAGCTGTTTCACAGCAATAATATTTCATTAATGACCGTCGACCGTCAACCATACGGTATTCCGATAAGAAGAGACCAGTAACCATTTTTGCCTTCCTTGTGTCTGCGATTGTTTGTCTAGCTTATTGCTGCAGGCTCCGTAAACAACACGATCTTCATTCAAGAAAGCTCCCTATCTCTGTTGTTATCTCATTTTCGCAGGAATTCCTTGGCTCAACGGCGGTGACAACAAGGAGTTTTCGTGGTATCTTTACATTTCCCGTCATATTCCGCACTCCACGTTCCACGTTAGCCCAGCGAAGAGCAAATTAGTGCAGACCACACTGCTCTCTCGAAAGCGCTGCGTGCCACAGATAGAAAATCAGATATCTTGTTTGGAAACTTTTGCGGTACCTTTTGTGAATTTGTCTCGGTCGAACCTTTGCCTCAGGCCAGCTCAAAATCATCTGTTGAAGCAAACCCAAGAACGCACGTTACAGCAGAACAGCCAACGCATTCTCGGAAAGGCCCCTGAAACACTTGAACAATGAACAGCATCCCCGATGAAGTTAAAGAGGTGCTTGGGCAGTTGACTGCCCCCCAACAAGTTGTTCTTCGAAAATATATCGCAACCCTCAGAGCCGATATCAAGGGTTTGAATGAATCAGTCCTGGGCCTTAAAGGTAAGACAGAGGTTTGAAAGAGAAAACCGGTTGTTGGATTTACTTTTTTCTTCCCCTTATTCGTTCGATTGGGTTTCTTTTTGCAAAAACTAGACCCCGACGAGCACGCACACTACCATGGCCATACCAAATGCACAGCAGACCACGGGCACTCGGGGCATGATCATGATTCCGACCATCATCACAAAGGTAAGGTCAAGATTTTTTGAGAAGGGTATTAAGCAGGAAATAGGTTTTACTATTGGGACTGGTCTGATGCTCTTGTCTTGTTATTTGTTCAACACAAAACAATCGCCACAAAGGTAAGACCAAGAGGAAGGAGCGGAAACATGGTCTGGTTTGTTGGATGGATCGTTCTCACTGCTTCGTTTCTAACAGAACACGACCACTCTCATGGCCACAAAGAAGAGTCACACGATCATGGACATGGCCACAAAGAAGAGTCTCACGACCACGGCCATGCCCACAAAAAAGAGTCTCACGACCACGGCCATGGCCACAAAAAAGAGTCTCACGACGATGGACATGGCCACAAAGAAGAGTCTCACGACCACGGCCATGCCCACAAAGAAAGAGTCTCACGACCACGGCATGGCCACAAAGAAGAGGACTCACGACCACGGCCATGCCACAAAAAAGAGTCTCACGACCATGGCCATGGCCACAAAAAAGAGTCTCATGACCAGGCCATGGATCATGGACATGGCCACAAAGAAGAGTCACACGATCACGGCCATGCCCACAAAAAAGAGTCTCACGACCATGGCCATGGACACAAAGAAGAGGAGGCTCATGGACATGGACACAAAGAAGAGTCACACGATCACGGTCATGGCCACAAAAAAGAGTCTCATGACCATGGACATGGCACAAAGAAGAGTCACACGACCACGGCCATGGCCACAAAAAAGAGTCTCATGACCATGGCCATGGACACAAAGAAGAGGAGGCTCATGGACACGGCCATGCACACAAAGAGGAGTCGCACGGCCACGGCCATGCGCACAAGGAGGAGTCGCACGATCATGGACACAAAGGTAAGACCAACACGAGAGATAAGATAGATGGATCTGCTTTTTGGTTCGTTCTAACCTTACTCTCATCGTGCTGCAAAGAACACGGCCATGGGCACGGGCACAAAGGTAAGACGAAGAGTAGGAAAGGGAAAGGTGGATACGTTGTTTGGATCGTTCTGACTTTGTCTTCGATTTCTAGAGCACGAGGACGACGGACACGGCGCCGAAGGTAAGACTACTGGTGGAGAAGGGAGAGATTGATTTGCTGTGAGAATGTTTCTCACATGTTGCTTCACAGAATCGCACGATCACGCGCATGCGCACAAAGATGTAGAAATGGTTGATGCCGAGGCTGCACACGATCACTCGCATGCTCACAAGTCGAGTGAGACCAAAGATGACATTCCAGCTTGGAAAAAAGCTGCGATGAATGCAGATCCAATGGCTGCACCATTCGGTGGCAGCTGGAATGTTGAGACGTCTGTATCTGCCACTGACGACAAAATGAAAGAATAGTTTCATCTGGAGGGTCGAAAGGGATGCTTTGTTCAAAAACTGTACCCGTCGTAGCATTCCAATGTCTGAAGGAAATGATTGTTTCATGCTGGCATCTTGGTGAACATATAAGCCAATCAGGTCTGTCATCTCATTAAAGCACAAAACAGCTTATACAACAACTCAGAACCGTGGACGTACTTTATAAACCAAAGGTTCTACTTCCATATGTTTCCATCCATTAGTAGTCCTTCTGCTGATTCAACTACAAATGATGTTCTACATCTGGACACGACTTTCAATTGCCCTTGTTTTAAAAAGCCATTCATTTGTTCTGTTGGATCCCTCTAAGTCAAGCCCCTTGGCCTAATTGTTGGCCCTCAGGTTGAAGTCCCTGATCCCACAGAGCCTACTAATAGTTCGTGCCGAGTTCCACCTCCTCTTTGCCTGAGCCTCCCGCCCCAAGCCAGATTCCGTAGATGGCTTCCCTACTCTACTACTAGTAGTAGACCCCCACTATGGTACAGTTTTCAAAAATTGCCTCGCCCTCAGAGAGCACTCGCAACAAGATGGGCTGGTCGGTCCTTTACAGCTTTGCTGTGTCTAAGAAAGAGGGGACAAACCAGAAAAATGAGGGGTCAACCCCAGTTTTGGGGCCGTCCAATCTCCCACCAACGTCAGAACGTCAGGAGGTTGGATCGCAGTTCGTCACATTTTCTATTGCTCAGAACGAAAGGAATTGCAACCTGTCATTCTGGAGCTGAAGTACAGTGCACGGTGATGAAATTGTCTCTTGCCTCCATGGTCCTCCTCTCGGTGCTGTCGACACTGAGAGGTCGACAGTCAGTTTTTGCGTTCACTACACCGTCGAAGGTAGCAAAGCGATCCACCTCTCTTTTCGCCAAAGGTAGGCTCAGCAAGCTGTAATCCAGATATTCTAAAGCTACACGTGTTTCTCAACCATCAAATTATTATCACTTGCATTGACGAAGGAGCCGGCGGTAAAAAGAAACCGAAAAATGCTTTTGCCTCGACCATCATTCTCCCAGAGACACCATTTTCTCAACGAGCGAATGCCATCAAGAGAGAACCTGAAATCCAGGCACAATGGGCTGAGCAGGAACTGTATCATAAACTATCAGCTACCGCTGAGGAAGCCAACGCGGATCGATTTGTTCTTCACGACGGTCCTCCGTATGCTAATGGCGATCTCCATTGTGGCCACGCACTCAACAAGATTCTGAAAGATTTCATCAACCGAAATAAGGTGCTGAGTGGAAAGCAGGTCCATTACATTCCGGGTTGGGATTGCCACGGATTGCCCATTGAACTCAAAGTACTTCAGAATATGAAATCCAAGGAGCGCCAGGGTCTCACTCCCATTAAACTTCGTGAAAAGGCTGCAGCATTTGCCAAAGAAACTGTAGAAAAACAATCGGCCAGCTTTCAGAGGTATGGAATTTTTGGGGACTTTGAAAAGCCCTATCTGACACTGCAACCATCATTTGAAGCGGCCCAGATAGAAGTATTCGGGGAAATGTTCAAAAAAGGATACATCTTTCGAGGTCGTAAACCAGTACACTGGTCGCCCTCGTCACGAACTGCCTTGGCGGAAGCCGAGCTGGAGTACCCGGAGGGACACATTTCGAAGAGTATCTACGTGGGTTTTGAGGTCACGGAACCCTCTGAGGCTTTGGAGGAGTACCACAGCGACGAAGACCCACTAAAGGTAGCTATCTGGACAACTACACCCTGGACAATCCCTGCGAATATGGCCGTTGCAATCAACCCGGCATTGAGCTACTCCATTGTGACGCATCCAAAGACTGGCAAATTGATTGTGGCTACTGACTTGATTGGTTCCCTGCAGGTAAGAAAACCTAGACGTACTTGGCTTTAAAGCCATGCCAGGCATGAAAAGATCCCTCTGACCGACGCCACTATTGTCCTTTGGTACTGCTAGACCAAGTTTGATCTACCAGAGGGAGAAAAGCTGGACATTGTAAAGACCTTTTCTGGAGACGATCTGATTGGAACAAGATACAACCACCCTCTATACGATCATCGAAAGCCTACCATTGTCGTTGGGGGCGACTACATCACAACGGAGTCAGGTACTGGATTGGTTCACACGGCACCTGGACATGGTCAGGAGGATTATATAACAGGTCTTAAGTACGGCCTTGAGCTAGTAAGTCCAGTCGACGACGTGGGAAAATTCACCATTGAGGCGGGAGAGGAGTTTGCAGGCATGAGCGTTCTTGGCGAAGGTAACCAGGCTATCATTGATGCGCTTTCCAGCAGCGGGACTCTTCTGAAAGTAGAGGATTACGGTCACAAGTATCCCTACGATTGGCGAACAAAGAAGCCCACCATCTTTCGGGCTACAGACCAGTGGTTTGCCAGCGTAGAAGGATTCCGAGATATGGCGCTGGATGCAGTTGATCAGGTAGGCGTAGAACCGTCATTTTGGTGGGGTTTGTGACGATCCCTTTGCTTTTGCCTGACCCAAGTCCTCACTGTATCCAATCGCAGGTTCAATGGGTTCCCGAGGTTGGAAAGAATCGTATCAATGCCTTTGTCTCTGGTCGTGGAGATTGGTGTATCTCTCGTCAACGGTCCTGGGGAGTGCCCATTCCTGTGTTTTACGATTCGGAAACCGGTCAGGATGTTCTCCTTAACGAAGAAACTCTAGCGCACATTAAGCAATTGTTTGAAGAACATGGCAGTGATGCATGGTGGAAGATGGACGAGAAGGACCTTCTACCAGACAAGTATAAAGATGAGGCGGACAAATGGAAGAAGGGAACCGACACTATGGACGTGTGGTTTGATTCGGGTTCAAGTTGGGCAGGCGTTGCTCAAACTCGACAAGAGTTGGCCTACCCAGCCGATCTCTACTTGGAGGGAAGCGATCAACATCGAGGATGGTTCCAGAGCAGTCTCTTGACGAGCGTGGCCGTGAATGATCAGGCACCTTACAAGACAGTTCTGACTCATGGATTTGTACTTGACGAGAAGGGCTTTAAAATGTCCAAATCACTTGGAAACGTGGTCAATCCAATGCAAGTTATCGAAGGCGGCAACAACAAGAAGTTAGAACCAGCCTACGGGGCAGACGTGCTTCGTCTCTGGGTTGCCTCTGTCGATTACTCCGGTGACGTTTCCATTGGCCCCAATATCATCAAGCAAACTTTTGAGAGCTACCGAAAGCTTCGAAATACTGCACGATTTTTGATTGGTAACTTGGCCGACTTTGTTCCGGAGGGACAACCCGGTTGCAGCGCAGTGCCGTACGACGAACTCCCTTCGTTGGATAAATGGATGCTTGGTCGACTCAGCACACTGCTGAAAGAAGTAATTTCAGCAATGGACGAATACCAATTCCAAAGAGCCGTACAAGAGCTGCTTCGCTTTGCATCTGCCGATCTCTCGAACTTCTACCTCGACGTCGCGAAGGACCGTATTTACGTGTCAGCAATCAACGATGCCAGACGACGAAGTTGCCAAACTGTGATTCATGCGTGCCTCGAGGGTTTTGCCAAGGCGATTGCACCCATTCTCCCTCACATGGCGGAGGACATTTGGCTGAACCTTCCGTACGAGAAAACAACCGAAAGTGTCTTTGAAGGAGGATGGCCTCAAGAGCTTCTTGAATACCCTGAATACGACAATGAACAGTGGGATTTGGTACGAAATCTGCGAGATGACGTCAATAAGCTACTCGAGTCGGCAAGAAGCGACAAACTTGTGGGAGCTTCGCTCGATGCGGCTGCTTTCGTCTATGCTGAAGATGAGAAAACCGCAGCTACTCTGGAGAAGCTCGTCGGCGACGAAAGCTTGATCTCTCCGCCAGTAAAGACAAACGGAGTGGACGAGTTGAGAACAGTTTTGATGCTTTCCCAGGTGCGACTAGTGAAGAGCAAGGAGGAGCTTGAGTCCGCTTGCGACGAAAGCTACATTGCCTTATCCAACACAGCGAGCGGATGCTCAGTTGGTGTTGCCAAGGCGGAAGGAACCAAATGTGGTCGTTGTTGGTTCTACGACAAGCAAATAGGAAAGGAGGGGCTCCCACACTCTGATGTCTGCCAAAGATGCAACGACGCCATTGCTGTCTGGGAGAAAGAAACAGGTCAAGAATTCGTGAAGCCCGAAAGTGAGGTGAAGGAACCCGTTGCATAGTCGTCACTATCTCGTGTCCTGTAACGATAGATAAGCGCCAGAGCCAGGTCTTCTCTGGGCTAACTATTTGATGGAACTCACTGTTTCCCCTCTGTATTGTTTGAGCTTTCAGTCTGTAGCTCTGAATCGGGGACCCGGTTTCCCTCTGTATTGTTTGAGCTTTCAGTCTGTAGCTCTGAATCGGCACCAGGAACTACCGGTACCTCTCAGACTCGACTCGACTGTGAGGATGGCTCTGTACGTTGTCCGAAACTTTTTGCTGGTCCTGAGGCATGACCCTAAGAGTGGCCAGTCGCCAGGTACATGTACATCTTTAGAATACCATACTTTTAGAGGGGTTCAAATCCCACCACAGCTCTTGAGGATCTTCCGGTGACTTTCCCTTTCCAATATTTCGAGTACGCTCTGACCGAAGGATACGACCTGGGACTTCCACTGGCTGGCTACCAGTTCGTAGTATGCATGCAGATCACTTTACATGTACAAGCTAGCTAGCGTACCGGTACCAGTAGCTACTAGTAGAGCGGGCTCTTTCGTCCTCTCAAGCCAACTGTGCAGGGGTAAGGAAAATTTGTGGAGCCGGAGTGCTCTCTCCAAATTGAACTGGTGGGATTTAGAAGAGTTCGGCTCTGGATTTAGAGATTGTGAAAGAGGTCAGGCGCTCAACGTTCCGGTGGCACTCCAGAGCTACCGGTAGCTAGCCCCCTTCCCACATAAATTTCAATTCACGCTTTGGGGCCAACCTTCACAACAACTAACGCACCCACTCCATCCACAGACTGCCATTGTTTTGGATGGCATCTCCTGGATGAAAGACGAATGAATAGCGTGCCATTAGTTTCTTTCACGTGGACCAAGAAGCAAGCAATCAATCGCTGGTATCCTTACTGCTAGCTAGCCCTACCAGTGGAGTTTCTTTTTGCTTCTATCGATAATGGCGAGAGCAAGCTACCGAGAATCCACCGGCTTTGTGCAAGAACACAATCGGTCCAATGTCAAGTTTGTGTTAGCATCGGCCCCCCTGGCCGTTGTGATGATATTTTTCGTCTATGAAGCCTACCATCGGCCCGAAAAGCCATTCTACAATATCCCTTCCTACGTAACGGACGATGCAGTTCTCCGAAAAGCTGCAGAAGACAGTGGCTCGTTTGTTCCGCTAATGGACATGTGTTACGTTATGCTATCCTTTTGCGTCGCCTGGGCATGTCTAGCGGGATACTTCCTTGGCTTTTTGGCTGCTAGAAGAAACATCATTGAAAGGTATCTCGACTCTGGAAAGCCCGTCCGGGGCAATGTCGTCTACGAGCATCGCTGTTGGGCCTTTGAGTTTCGATACTACGGATATTGCTCCTACCAACATCCTGATCCTGCTTCTGATCCTAATATTGAGGATTTGGGAGAGTCACCAATCATCATTCGAAAGAGAACTCGTATATTTGAACCCTACACCAGGGAACTGGTGCCCATTCTATGCCTACCAGGATACCCCATGTCCGGCCAAGGCAAGGACGATGTGGAATTCGCAAACATCAACGCTTTGAAGAATAAGTCTCGAGAAGTTTTCCTGGGCTGGTTCTGCCTGGCATGGACTGTAGTCTGCGCGGCTGTCCCAATTTACATCTTGCATCAGATGTCTATCATTGTTGAAAGAGAGTATTATGCTGGGATATCTGACAATTATGACAACCCGAAGAAGGGATGGGCTGTTTACTGGCTATTCATTGGCATTGGGGTGCTGGGAGGTGGTGTAGGAGGAAATGCTTTGGCTTGGATGTACCGCCGATGGTGGATTCTACACCAAGGAAGTGCCGCCGAAGGCGACCTTTCAGTCCATGGAGTTTCGCCACAAACGGGGAACGCCCAAGACTATGTAAGGATGTCGACTGTCACTCGCCAATGATGCAGATGATACCAATGATACCGTAGACGTCTTGCGCTGTTGTAAATCTTGTCTAAAAAATAGTTGTGTCTAATCAAAGTAAGCTCCGTGTTTTTAGCTTCCGTAGCCAGCGGCTACCAGGGAGTGTTTTCTATCGATCTCGTTTGAACTGAAGCCTGTAGCAGAGATCCCTTTGGATTCATCATTTATTTCCCACCTCTGAAGACTCGACTCGAACTTGTGGCAGAACACGGGGGCCTCCCCCAGCCCTTCGTCTAAAAACTAAAAGTACTACCCGGTACCAGTCTACCAGTATGAGCTGAAAAGAATGATGTGAGCAATCATTTGGCTAGCTAGCTAGTAGACTGACTAGCTGGACTTGTTGCAAACCGAGAAGCAAGACAATCAAGCTGGTGCCAAAGACATCAATTCTGGTACAAGAGGCAGTAGTAACCGTATGACAGTAGTAACCTACTAGCATTACGTCTTGCCCTTTTAGGCTAGGAGCCAACTATGTGACTTGTACTCCCACATGCCTTATCCGCTCGCACAATAACAACTGATAGTAACCCACGGTGTCCGACGGTCGCATCCGCCAGATGGATGCCGAAGAGATGATGGAGACAGACAACCTGGCCATCTCTCCACTCATCCAAGGGCCACGTAGTTACGATCTCAGCCCGGGCTGCTTCGTGCTGCTGTATCCTCACACGTTGTTTGGGCTGCGAGGATAGACTATGTATCGTTGATCGATCAGGCCCAAAGGATGAATGAAGCAGCTGCCTTTGTCCTCCCATTGAACGTTGAACCGGCCACCGGCTAGCTGGACAATTTTGGGGGTCACGCGCTCTTCATGATTTAGTTCTGACTCGACTTGACTCACTCGACACGTTCCTGTCAAAATAATGAATTCGAGAGAATAAAATCAATTTCGTAGAACTAATAATTCTCTCTATGACATTTTTGTATAAAAAATGCTCTCTATATCCTCTTTTTAATGGTCTATTTTCGAAACTGCTGACAATTTGATCAAAACGTCATAGCCGATACTCAGTAAACGGTATCGCTATGACCGCTGTGCCTGTCTGTGCCTCGTCTGTCCTCACCCGGCCCCCTCGTTCACCAATAGCCTGCGGCAGCAAATCCAACAGGCAAGCAAGGCAAGGCAAGGAGCAACAGTGGATAAAACCAACAGAGAAAAGCTGCCTGGCTGGTACTGTTGCTTTACTACTTGGCTGTGGTCATTACAATCTGAGCGGTCGTAGAGTTGTTATCCCAGCAACCCGACACAATCCTCTGCTTCATCTGTTCCTGCTGTGGTTATTGTAATCCTCAAGTTAGACGCTGTGCTCTCCTTTGTCTCCACTGAGAAAAAGACTCACTCGCTCAACTCGACCGACACGCTGCACTTCATAGCAGCGAATTAATTATTATATTTGGAGGAACAAGTTTGAGCGTCCGAAACAGACACAATGGCTGCTGATGATCCAAGTGGAGGTGATGCTGCGGCTCCTGCCCCAGCCAACGGTGGCGCCGGACAAGTGGCACTTCTGAGTGACCCTGTGGATGTTATTATCGACAAGCTCTTGAGGTGAGTGTTGGATTGCTGCTGTGCTGCTCATTTTGGAGAGAGTGCCGTGACTGTTGCTGTGGCCTTGTGACCCAGCAGCCGTCATGAGTGGGAGGATGGATGCGACTGTAGTATCTTGTCCCTCTCTCTCTTCATAGTATTGTTGTTTGTGGTGGATTTGTGTCTCAATTGGTCTCTGCCTTTGCCTCGATGACTTGACTCGATCGGCTGTGACTCTGTTGTTGACTGTGCTGTGCAGCGTGCGAGGCGCCCGACCCGGAAAGCAAGTGGATTTGTCCGAAGCGGAGATCAAGATGTTGTGTCTGCGCTCTCGTGACCTATTGATCGGACAACCGATGCTTTTGGAATTGGAGGCTCCCATCAAGATCTGCGGAGACGTGCACGGTCAATACTATGACTTGCTGCGGTTGTTCGAGTATGGAGGCTTCCCTCCAGAGTCTAATTACGTCTTCTTGGGGGACTACGTTGACCGTGGTAAGCAGAGTCTAGAAACTATCTGCTTGCTCTTGGCCTACAAGATCAAGTACCCCGAGAACTTCTTTGTTCTCCGTGGAAACCACGAGTGTGCGTCTATTAACCGTATCTACGGATTCTACGATGAATGCAAGAGACGATTCGGTATCAAGCTCTGGAAAACCTTCACTGACTGCTTCAACTGCCTCCCTTGTGCCGCTGTCATTGACGAAAAAATCTTCTGCATGCACGGAGGACTCAGTCCGGAACTCACCAGTCTCGATCAGGTCAAGAGAATTGTCCGACCTACCGATGTCCCCGATACTGGACTCTTATGCGATCTCCTCTGGTCTGACCCCGACAAGGAAATTGACGGTTGGGGTGAGAACGATAGGGGTGTCTCGTTCACCTTTGGGGAGGATATCGTCGCACAGTTCCTGAACAAACATGACTTGGACCTTATCTGCCGTGCCCATCAGGTCGTAGAAGATGGGTACGAGTTCTTTGCTCGAAGACAACTCGTCACCCTTTTCTCGGCTCCCAACTACTGCGGAGAATTCGACAACGCCGGAGCCATGATGAGTGTCGACGAAACACTCATGTGCTCCTTCCAGATCTTGAAGCCGGCCGAAAAGAGACAGCGCTTCTCATACCAAGGTGGTGCTGGAAACAGGCCCGGAACTCCTGGTGGCCCCGGCAAATAGATGACGAAACTATCCTATCAAGGAATGGAAATTTTATTTATTTGGACGAGGATGAGAGATTGACTGACAAAATAGTGTGATTTCGTGGAAGGTGGTGGTATGTACAGTATGGTTGGAATTTTATACAAGAGGAACGGCGAATTGTGTGGAAGCTACTTTACCTACCGGCCTTACCACAACAGAATTGACGAAAGGAAAGAGGAGAGATTACATGAGATGATGGAATAGAAGCGGAGACAAAGAAACCAAGAAAGGAATGATACGGGCACACCACTTTTTTCTGGACGATCGGGAGCGGCTTAATCCCGACGTCCGATTGATTTATTTGGTACAAACGAACAATGTAGCACCGGCTTTTACGTTTTTGTTGGTTATTGTTGTCGTTGTTGTAATCGTAGTTAAATTTAAATGGATCTGCGGCGGCTCAGCGGAATACATAGATAGCTCGATCAATCGGTGCTGGGGTGGGGCCACAAGACCCCTGCAGAAGGTGTGGATACCTAAATCCTATCTTGGAAGAGGCCCAGTTCGCACAACCCGTTGCTTCCCCATCCTCTGTGCCGCATACCGGTACTACTTGGCTGTTTGGATATCTATTGCGGAACAATCTGTTGCCACTTTGAATGCCTCGTAGTGTAGTGCTATCCTCCTTGTTTTCCGTTCCATTCGTAATCCACGACCTTTTGGACGGAATCTAGCTACCCATGCAGGGTAATAGATGGCCGCCAGCTACAGAACCGGTAGCTAGCAACCTGGTACGGTAGCTATTGGTACAACAGTGTGGTCGATACGACGTTTTACATGTATCATAGATCTGGTGGAAGGTGCGCCAAGAAGTTGGTATTCGCCAAATCCAATCTTCCCGAACGCAGGCAGTGCAGAACAGCTCCTCTGAATTTTCCCTCACCAAATCAATGGAATCAATCCCCACGACCGCTCTACACGACCTGCGGCCTGCCTCCACCCCAATTCCAACTTTCGCTTCGATTACAAAACACACCCAAGATTGTCGGTAGGCAAGGATTCGAATGCTAACATGGATACAACTGGTGCCGCTTCCTTGCGAAACTGCCGCCGCCATCGCCTAAGGCGCAGAACGTCTTTGGAGATGAAGTGCCAGGCAACGTCAGGGCAAGGAAAGAGGATACTTCTCTCCACTGCGAGTCGTTCAACATTCGCACTGGCGGTGTCGATGATTTGTGCTTCGGCTTGGTTTGTTTCCATGGGGGTATGTTCGACGGGTGTCACAGCCCTCTTGATACAATCGGCCCAAGAATCGCTTGTAGTTTTCAATCGAGACCACCAGCTCCTCGAGCATTCGATCGAGGAGCTCAAGATGGGGACAGCGGCAGCGAAACAGGAGCTTTATCTCAGCCAATCTTCGTGCCTTCTTGAGCGCACAACACATTTCGAGATCTTTCAGTCTCCTACTGGAGGGGGTATGCTGAACGAAGTTGACCTCGACCTTGACTTTGATTGAAAAATCCCTTTTATTAAGTGCTGCGATCAAGCAAGACAACATAGACAACAAGCAATGCATCTAATTGCCAACGGTTTCAAATGAAGAGCGGGAATACATGTTCTTCTGGCTGCCATTGGTCCGGAGTACGCTTCAATTGTGGGTAATACAGGCAGCCAATAGTGCGAAAAGGCGTCTCCACTGCTCTTCTCCTTCCCTCCACTTCCTTCCGGGTGTGCTCTACTCGTAAATAGCTAATTCATAATGTCAGAATATTCCAAACTTCCGAACAAACAAAAGGTTGCTGTTGCGGTGCCATTGTGTGCATTGACGGTCCTTGCCGGTGCCATAAAGTGTGAAGGAGATTGTGGCAGGCGCAAGAACTGGACCCTCGAGCCCTCGAGGGAGTTGACGTCACATTCAGTAAGCTACCGGTACAGTACCAGGTAGCCATGCCTCCAATGAAGCTTTAGTACTCCACTGGTTCTAGCTGGATACCCTCTAGTCTACAAAGTACACAGGTGTACATGTCTTGTAAAAGTTGGGGAAATTGTGCGCTTTGCAGGCTGGTGTCATACATGTAAAACTTCTAATCTATAGTCTACTCTATGCTGTATTATATATGAAAGGATTGTTACTGGCATCGATACACTCTGTAATGTACGTCGATTGTTGCCCCTGATATTTGGCAATGAGCTGTACTCGTATCGACTCCAGTAACCATTTCCTCTTCTTCGGCTTGCAAAGCCTACTAGCAAGCAACCAATTGTCCTTGCAACTACCTGGTCTGGCCATTCCAGATCATACCAAGTCGCCCCTCCCTTCTTACCGATGGTACATGTACCGGTGGCACAGAGACAAATGCTCTCTTTAATTTTGCAGTTTGTCTCAGTCTCCGCACTTTGGTTCCAGGCGCTGGTCCTCTCCACTTTCCCAATAGTTGGCTTGGCTCGATGTGGCACAGGGACAGTTGCTCTCTTTTCATTTTGCAGTTTGTTTCCGTCTCCACACGTTGGTTCCAGGCGCTGGTCCTCTCGACTTCCCAGTTGGCTTGGCTCAATGTATGTGTCACCCGCAGGTCCCTTGCTTATTAAGCTTCTTGTTGTCCGGGATGTTATGGCGGATCATGATGATGTGTCTAGGTCCTCTCTAGCACTTCATCGCCATAGTGCGAGTGAGCTTCCATGTTGCTAAAGTCAAACCATGCAGTCTTCAAGAATGCTTGAGCCGCAGTCAAATCCCAGGTTTCTTCGTGAAGTTTGATGAGTCCATCCGCATCCAAATGGTAGGTAGTGACACCTCTGACTCGGGGCATTTTCGGTCTCCATGGGAGCCTGAGGGTACCATTCATGGTCCACTTGGCCACAATAGCGTCTCCTTGCACTTGCAGCGACTGTAACTCGCATTGACTCTGTTTTAGGTCAAACAGCTGCGAGGCAGCATTGAGGAACTTGCGCAATCCCCGCACGGGCATGTCCGGGTCAGGTCCATCAAACAAGCAGTCATCACGATATATTTGCGGTGTCAAGCGACCAGTAATGTAGTATCCCTTGTTTGTATCTTCTCTCCAATCATGACGAATAACACTGGCCAACTCCTCCATTGAGAGTCCTTTTGTCTTGTGCCGAGTCTTTTCATCGCCCCGGCAACTGACCGGAGGCCCCACCAAGGGAATGTTGGTTTCTCGGATTACTACGTCCCTTACGAGCATCTCCAGAGTTTCAACAAAGTCTGTGGCTCTTCTACGCAGAAAAGGACACTTGTGGCTCAAGGCCTGACTGTACCATTGCTCGATGCGAACGAGACACCAGACTTCCCATGGCGAAAATGCCGGTTCCAAAGGATCCTTTCCAGGAGGATGATGTGCCTCTTCCTCTACTCCGAAGCCACCCACCACAGCCGCAGAATCATAGACAGATCCAACCATGGCAACCCTTCCAGGCAGTCGTATTCTTGTGGTCTCTTGTTCCAGTGCTGCAGCAGGCGAAGGCACCGATAAAAAGCGCCCCGTTGCCACGAAGGCCGGTGCGAAAGCATTGCTTCGATCCAACCAAGTCAGGCAGACCCAACAGAGACCGAGGTTTCGTATACATAGACGAGTCATGGCGACGGCGTGCTTTCAAACTATCTGATGGCAGCGCGGATTGCAAAGGGCACGATTATGAGGCAAGAGCCTGTCTTTCAACGCTTGGTCGCCACTTTCCTTCAGGATTCCAATGGACATGGACTGCTTATCGATTCTTCTTCGGTTTGAAACAGCGTATTGTGATGCAATTATGAGTCCAAAGAAGAACTTGCTCCCACAGCCACTGCTGAAGCTTTGCTTCCAAACATCAGTTCGCTGGTGAGAAGCCGAAGAGTTCCTGTCTTCTTTTTCGGTCTGATGCTCTGCAATGCTTCCTTGTGATCCATCTGGAGTCCTGCTGTGAAGCTTGAAGGCCCATCACGCACTCGAACGATCGGATGGAGACTCGAGTGAACGCACCTTCGTCCCCCGGCTGCTGACATAAGGACATTCTGCCTTGCAGATGGCATTTGAGACTGCGATAAACTGTACACCAAATCAAGCTTTTGTGTCAGGGTTGTTCTTCGTCGCCTCATCAGAATGACAACATGCAGAACATCATAACCTCGGAGGAACCTTTGTCTGTCCTGTGAATCGATCATCGCAACAAGAATATTCGGTCCAATCGAAGTGATTGGTGGTTGGTCTCCAATGGTCTCTTTCAGTTTTCTTAGGATCGTAGCGGCTCAGACTGGATAAGTGTCAGTCAGTCAGTGGTTCATGCCATACCGGTAGCCGTAGCTACCCATGGGATCCCGGGATGACACTCCATTGTACCGGTACCGGTACCGGTACATGTATGTGCTGAAGCTGCTGCAACAATGCAGGCATTTGCTGTAGTGGGCGCATGGTCCCACACCAGGATCTACGCTGGTCTATCTCCGTCTCCCGGGGTCACAGCCCGGGCCAATTCCAGAAAATGCCGATAGCTCTCAACCAGTTTCAAGGCAAACAAGAATGACAAGGAAGGGATAGCTAGTGTTATAGTTACATTTATACCATTATCAGTTGCTGTCTCAATTGCAATCAGTCACAGACCATGCACCTTACAATACTGCTACACAGAGGCAGTTTTATCTATCTATTTTGTTGTGCCTGAAGCAAACAGTGGCAAGGAACCTGCGATGGATGGAAGACGCATAGACTCTGGGGGAGCCACCTATTGCCACTCAATAGAGTCAGAGTCGAGTCTCATCAGTTCGAAGAAAGCTTACGTTGGCACATTGTACAGTCGTACTGTACTGCACGTCGGGTGTAGTGGTACCCTCTACCCTACCGGTACGGTACCAGTACGGTACGGTACAGTCGTACCAGAACATCCAACTGCTGAGATTTCCTGGTGCACCATAGCAGAATAAAGTAATTACAGTTCTACAGGCTTGCCTCTGGTATTGCGCAAGCACGCATGTTGAAGCCCAGGGATCGTTGCATTTGAGTCCACGCACTTTTTGCTCTGCTTTCGGTACATTCCAACGTTCCAACACATCAAGGCGTTGTACGTTTACGTCGACCCGAATGAAGGGAAGGCAAACAGCTCATCTTGTTGGGATCCTTGAGTACCAATGATCTCTGCATTCAATGTATGAAGAAGAAATTGTGAGGTCGCTCAGCTTCCATTTCTCAGATTGACGGCTGTTCATTGTGAAGCATTCTTGTTCCTTTTTCGTTTGCTTTGGTGTGGTCTATAATATATATATATATATCGTATCTGCTCCAGAGACGAAGTAGTCTCCTCCGATCTACTTTTTGTTTCCAGATCAAACGAATCTTTTATATTTTGCCCAAGAAAATGGCCGATTCTTGCAAGAGATCACTTTTTGTGTGGGGTATCTTGTTCGCCTTTGCCTCCAACAATGCCACGGCGCTGACTTCATCTACCTCGAGATATGGCAAGACCAGAGCACCATTATCTTCTTCTCTGTGGGGCAACACTTGTTTTTTGAAAAGCTCAAGCGTGCTGAGAGCAGCTGGCGGGCCACAAGTGGAAGAGAGAATAGAAAGGTTGGCTGAAACAACAATAATCATAGACCAGGATGAGCAAAAGAAGGTTCAAGTTCAAGAGAAGCAGCGAAAGCCCAGAGAACCTTGGAAGGCTAGCTATCATGTTTCCAAGAAAACACAACTTAAAATTCAGCAGGCAGCAGAGGACAGGGGCGCCAAGACAAGGAGTGGGTTGCTAAGAGCCTCGGCAGTTCTATCAACCTTCCTCGCCATGCCACCCGAAAGATGCAATGCTGCCAATTTGGTCTGTGCACTCACGCTCAGCGCCAAAGCCATGGGAACCTACAAATCCAAAACCAATGAATCATTCCGCCAGCTTCTGTTTGAAACCCTGCAAATCCTTCACGACCTTGTGGCTGAGGAAAGGCTCAGTTCTAGACAACTCTCCAATGCCGTGTGGGCCATTGCCAAACACTATGATCGGGATCCCCTCTTGCTACCAGAGTCTGCCAACATGGAAACATCTGCAGTCTCTGGTCAGCAAAGGGTGGAGACGTGGGACCTGAAAGAAGTGGATAGCAGCGTCAAGGAATTGACTCCTGCCGAAACGTTGGATGCCACTGTAGACGAGATTTCCCGTCAGCTAACAGAGATAGTATCAATAGAAGAAGAAGCTGCCGCCCAACATGCAAATGGTGGAAAGACTCCACCGCGACAAACCAAGCTGGGAGAACTCTGTATGGTGACCTGGGCCTATGGAATCCTCCGACCGCGTAGACGACCGCCGGGTTGGCTTCAGCCTCCACAAATGGATAGTCTGCACTCACTGGCAAAGAAACTGGGAGCGAAGTCTAGAAAGGACTTTCTTACATTTGAAGAATGGACCTTGAATGACGAGGATGACATGTCATGGAAGCAAAACGCTAAGGTGGAGATTGATTCGTCACATAGCAATCCCACCGATGCCCTATTTGATACCATCGCCGAAGCACTCTGCCGGCCATCATCTCAAAATGAAACCAATTTTGACGCGACAGCATCCCTGCACGATCCCCAGTTGGAACTCATGCGTCTGTCGGATTGTTCGTGGAGCGAGATTGCCAATCTCGCGTGGGCTTTTGAAAAGTGCGGAAGGAGTCTATCCCCAGCATCCGAAACACTGCTTCGTGCGCTGGCTCACGAAGCGGCATGGCGGTTACGTACGGGAGGTGCGAAGACGCGATCCATGCTAAGTCGAGACATCTCGCAATTGATCTGGGCTTTGGGGACACTGCAGCAAGACAATTTTAGATTGGCTCACGACTTGGTGATACTTCTGGATGACTTCTCGGCATACATGGGCTTTGAACTCAACGACGCCAACGCCAGAGACTCAAGACCATTCAGGAGCTGGAGTAGTCCTGATATTGTACAAACCATTCTGGCGCTTTCCCATGCTAGAGTCGACGATTCCCAACTTTTGCTTGCATTATTCGAAGAAGCACACAGCCGCTTGGACAGTGGTATTTGTGCTTCGGACTCGCGACGGGAACACGGGCGCAAAACGTTCCTGGCGTGGGAAGTGTGTGTACTGCTTTGGGCGCAGGCTCGATTGTACTTGACAGCCGCGGAGGGCGACGTCTACGAGCAATTCCCTGGCGCAGCTGTGTCTAACATTATCGCCACCTCGTCTTCAACCAGCTTGAATGATATTGGGATTGGTCCCCAGGAGAAAGCGAATATTGCCTGGGCGCTGACTGTTTTAGAACATCATCAATCTGGCGAAGCCATCGATCTCCTGCGAGCTACCTTTTACGACGCTGCTAAAGCTTGCAAGCAGGAGGGTTTGATTCAACTGGAGCATGCCCATCAGCTGTGGCAAGCTCTGTTTCTCTTGGAGGAGGAGAGTCCATCTGCAGTGAGCAAAGTCCCCAAATGGTTCAGGCAGTTGTTGAGCGATAAGTGGAACCTAGAAAAGTCGAGAAAGAAGATCAGCAGTGCACGGCACAAGTCCATCAGCCAAGTCTTGAATTTGATGGGAGTTGCACACTACAATGAACACGACGAAGACATTGATGTGGCAATCGTCTTGAAGAAGCAAGCCTCATGGGCTCACCAGACGTATGCCGAGGAAAGTTCCAGCGCAATGAAAGTAGCTGTTGAGTTTGACGGACCCAACCATTTCACTCGAACAAGGATACCCCGGGGCGAGACCATGGCAGCGCCAGTGCGAGCATTGGGGCACACTGTGCTGAAGTATCGGCTGCTAAAAAGGAAAGGGTGGACTGTCGTTCGAGTTCCATTCTATGAGTTTGACAAGATTCCATTTTGGGCGAGCATGGTAAGTAGAGAAATATTAGAGGTGCAGGCGGTGCTACAGTCTCGACAGTTGTCCAACCTTATTCACTGTGTTTTCCCTCCTACCACCATACCACAGGAGAGACAACGGTACTTGCAAAGGTTGCTGAAGACTCATGCAAACATCAGATTCAGTGACGTTGACATCAGTGATTATAGCGCCATGGCACCCAACCGAAAAACCCGTTTTGATTGAACCGCAGGCGATGTGATAGAATGAATAGACTACTACCTAACTAAGGTTGCATTTTGTACATAACGAGACGCTGCACGAAATCTGATGTTTGCCCTCATGCATTGAAGGAGTTATGCACCGGTGTGATGTGTTGTTGGAAGCGCCGGTACTACTTACTTGGTGATTCCTACTGATCTAATGATTGTCCATTTGCCACGGTCAATATTACTTCCCCTCGAATGAGCAGCTTAGGCACGCAATCCACTACGTTGCCTTCATGGGGACAGGCATGCGGAAACAGGAGCAAGTGCCCCAGGGTTGGCTTGACACTAGCCATGACGACATCGCGCCCCTCGCCCCTGACATCCCCCAACAGGACAGTTTCCCCGCCTGTTTCGCAAGTTGTCAAGTAAAACAAAAAGGAGTGCGTGCTCCTTTGTCCGGATCTTGGCTCCACCCTACACAGGTCAACGTGAGGCGCCAACGAAGAGCCTCGATGTTTGTAGTGTAGGAAACGCATATGCGAGAGCACCACTGCGTCTTCTTGCAAAGCCCTATTGCTGTGTTTCTGGAATGCTTGCTTGATGCATCGCTGCAGCGTTGACCTCAGCCATCCCTCCGAGTCGCAAAAGTAGGACCGTTCGGAACAAGTTTCCAGTTTCTTTTCGTTCTTCTTTTTCGATGATGTGTCCACTGGAATTGTTCTCCAAAGCTCCAAGATCGGTTCCACGTCTTCAATCCAATCTGAGATCAAGTAGGAACCAGCACCAGGATGATTGACTGTCTCATCAATCAAAACTCTTAACATTGGCTCCACTGCACAAGTTTTGATTTTCGTCATTGACATTTGAGTGTGAGCATTGTTGTGTTCTACTGATCCATTGGCATACTTTTCGAGGTCCGCTGGTGTCGATTCCCAATAGTCCCTCCGGTACTTCTTGATAATGTCGAGGCAATTGTCCTGTCCATGAGCACGACAAACGCCCTCCAATGTCATCATGCCATTGGCTTGAATCCATGGATCAGCTCCGTACTGCAAAAGCAACTCCACCATATCGGCAAACCCACACCACGCAGCCATGTAGAGTGGGGGTTGTCCATATTCGTTGGTAGCATCGACATTGACTCCTGCCTCGAGCAATCCGCGCACAAAATGAATAGCATTCTTGTCGGTGTATGTGAAAAATTTGTCGGTGCGCACCGACTGGCACAATCCCAAGGACGGGATCACCGCTTTGGCCCAAGATGATGACAATGACTCTAATTCAGTAGTCTTCTTCTTCTTTCTGCCCGACTTCTTCAAGGCTATCGAATCAATTGGTAGGTCCAGGAACCGTTCTTTGGATCGTTGACCTCTCTGCTTGGGTGACAATAGTGCTGTTGATTGTGCGTCCATATCGGTGGCTTGGTCTGTATCATGATCATCAGCCCCACAACATGGACAAATGACCACGTTGCCTTGTCTCTCGTCCACGTGCTGTAGAATATCTGTCCAGAAACAGACTTCACAGAAATTGCAATGACAGCAGCTTGTTGTTGTTGTATCATTCTCATTCTTATCATGCGTATAGACCAATTGATATCGGGAGGGTATGTTTTGGATGTTGCAGATTGGGCAATCAAATGTATCGCTGACCTGCTCTTCTCTCTTCTCTGTCCTTTGTAGAACTGATTGCATTCTCATTTGGACCGCTCTCGTGACAATGTACCCACTGAGGGATAATGGGAAAGCATTGAAGAATCGCCTGGAAATTTGGTCCGAGACTGTTTGCAGTTTTGCATGCATTGAATGGTGGTTATCCTCTTGGTTGTTGCAGATTGGTCTTTCATCATCTTTGAGAATCCCTCTTTGACAAGGACTCATGGCTGCCACCAATAGACAGGCTGTAATGTGATATCGTCCCACCAAAATGGTGTACTCCATCAAGGATATTGTGACCATTTGGTTCAAGTAGGCAGTGATCCGTTGGAGATGTTTCTGCCCCATTCTGGAATTAACTTGCTCTTGTTTGAAGTATCCTCTGGACAGAATTTCTTGGGTCGAAAGAAGGCTTGAGAAAACATTCATTTGGGACATGATTCTTGACAGCGAAAAGTAGGCTGATTTGCCAAGGTTTATATTGTGAAAGATGGAAGCCAATAAAACCTCGTCATCTTGATCTGATGTCTTGGGTGAGGTACTACATGTAGTTGGGTCAGTATTACATATAGTGGTAGTTTCGCTGCTGATCTTGACACTGCCTGCAGCTACCCTTTCTCTAATGCAGTATCGCGCTTTCCGTCGGTCCCTTTCTCGCGCCTTTTCTGGAAAATCTTCTCGCATTGCTCTGTGATGATTCGATTCAATTCATTCAGAGATGGTAGTTGCGTTCATTGAGTCGGTCGGTCGAACGTAGTCTAGCTAGCTAGCCGCGAAGTTGAGTGTTGAACATCGTCCGAAGCGGCATGAGAAAAATGGAGCTTCATGGCCGTTCATTTTGCGTTCTCAAGGAGAAAGATTCGATTCGATTCTATTCGATTCAAATCGAAATACCTGTATCAATCGATCAGCCGATGAATCTTCCTTCTTTCTCATGCGAACGAAGAGGGGGTACGTCACACACTTTTTGAGTGTCGTGTGAAGGCCAGCAACAATGATGATGCAACCAAACCAGCAATGCAATAGCCTTATCCGTGGCATGGCAAAGCTCTAGTTGCAGCAGCAGTGGTAATCACAATTTCTGTCAGACCACCTCGAAAAATTAAATAATAGTATACCATGAAGTTCTCTGCTCTTTCCCTTGCTACCATCCTGGCTTCTGCCTCTGCCTTTGCTCCGGTATGTTCTGTTTTCTGATATCAGATCTGGTTATTGAAATGGTTTTGTTCTGTTCGATTCTCATCTTGCTGTTTATTTCCATTTATCAATGATATCATCAGGCACCTGTGACCCGCTCTTCCACAGCCTTGAATGTGTGGGGTGATAAGGACTATTTGATTGCTCCCTCCATCCTGTCTGCTGATTTCGCCAAATTGGGAGAAGAAGTTGACAATATGTTGGAAGCTGGAGCTGATGTCGTTCACTTTGATGTCATGGACAACCACTACGTCCCAAACTTGACAATTGGACCCATGGTCTGCAAAGCCTTGAGAGATCACGGAGTCACCGCACCCATTGATGTCCACCTTATGGTTAGCCCCGTTGATGCCGCCATTGGCGACTTCATTGATGCCGGTGCTTCCTACATTACCTTCCACCCGGAGGCCACAAACCACGTCGACCGCTCCTTGCAGCTGATCAAGGGCGGTGGATGCAAGGCCGGACTTGTCTTCAACCCTGCCACTTCTTTGGATGTCGCCAAATTTGTCTTGGACAAACTTGACATTATCCTTCTCATGTCTGTCAACCCTGGATTCGGTGGACAAGCATTCATCCCCGCCACTCTGGATAAGGCCAAGGAAGCACGAAAAATGATTGACGAAGCTGGCCTTGACTGCCGTTTGGAAATTGATGGAGGTGTCAAGGTGGACAACATCAAGGAAGTGTGCGAAGCTGGAGTTGATATGTTCGTTGCTGGATCTGCCATCCTCAAGGAACCCAGGACTGTTGAGGCATACAAGGAGACCATTGATGCCATGCGTAAGGAACTTGCCGCCGCAGAAAAATAAATAGAATGCAGCGGTCAATGAGGTGAATGGAGTTGGAACTTTTTTGGTTTGGTTTGCATTGCATTACACGGTATAGCACAGCACACGAAGTATGGTAGCATTTACTAAAAGTATACATTATTTGATTCGATTGGTTGTTTATTTTCCGAGACAGTACCGGTACTAGCAGTAGATGTGTGTTGGTAGGGAATGCATTGTGTGCGTGGGCCATCAAAGCATATACTTCATGGCATGCATGCCACTAGTTGACATGATTTTGCTGAAAACTATTAAAAGGCCAATGGATCGGATGATGACATCATGGAAGAGGGAATGCCGCTGATTCCATCTCTTGAGCTATACTAGTATGTTCTAATGGTAACGGTACCGACAACTATAGAATTCATTATCCACAGCTGCACAGATCACACGGAAAGGATCCTAGACTGCAGGCAGCCACCGCCTCTATCAGATGAGTTTGGTTAGGGATGTCAGATGAATTGTTAATTGTTATTCGTAGCCCATCACGTGAAAACGATGCGAAACGAGGTCCACAGAAAGATTCTTGAGTCAGTCCTTAGTAGGAAAGTTAGGCGATTGTCAATCTTTCGGAAAGGGAGGCTGTCTCGGCAGGGGTTGCAGAACTCTTGCCGTCAACCATTTGGCTCGGGTCTGATGACCGAATCGAATCAGAAAGCGGAGAGAATAACATCATGATGTGTATTGTCGTGTGTACCGTACTAGTTTGCTTCTCCACTGCCGTGTACCAGGGGAAAACAATTCATTCATCCTTGGGCAGTTTCAGCATTGCCGCTTCCACCAGAGAAACTGCCATGGTGCGGTTGGAAAGAGTAAGAAAACATGAATCGAATCAGATGGAAACCCAAATCAAGTTCCAAGAAACAGTGAACCAAGAAAGTACAAGGAATTACCTTCTTCTGACGAGGAAACTACAGCATTTTGCCATGCAGATTGCTTGAAATTTGGCGCACAAGATAAAGACTGGTTTCAGCATTTGGCACATGGCAGCCAACAGGATCCGCATTCCCGTTGCTCCACCGGGCAAGAAGCTAACCAGGTAGTATACGAGAGCCAAAAGCTGACAGCCAGAAGCCGCCATGACAATGACATATCCTTTGGGGCCTCCCATGTTGAATGTGAAATGAAGCGTGGCAATCATACTCCCCACGTAAATTGTTGTGAAATACATTCTGTCTCCAGCACACATTCCCTTCAAATGTTCCCATGGGCCCTTGAGAATGCCAAAGCTGCCCATGAAGAGGAGACTTCCGAAAGTGAAGCTTATTGCGAATTTTTGCGGTCGCACGGTAATCATTGGCATTCCCACACTAAAAGCCAACGCAAAGAACAGAGCCGACAGCAGGAGGAGAGCCGTGAAGACCTGGAAACATGAGACAAGAAGAAAAGATGCACAAATGTGAGCAACGATGAAAAGATAATTATAGAGAAACAAAGCGACAAACAATGTACAGGTTTGTGATCTCCTTCGAGTTGAGTCGACTCGTTGGAGGGTTCGCATCGAGTGATCAAATAATGATCAAAGAAGTGCACCCACCTTGAATCGCTGTTGATAGTTCATCCCCATAATCTTCTTTGGCATTTGTGATTCCATCGTCTCTCGAATGTTCTGCATGCTCATGTTGGGCATGTTGGGCATGCCTTCGGTTAGAGGAAGGATTTGGTCTGTATTGACATTGAAATCAGGGATTTCGACACCAAAAAAGCTGTTCCCAACACTACCGCCTCCATTGCCTCCACCGCTTTCGGCTTGTTGCTCTTTGTACCAATTTCCAAAACCAGACATCTTCTATTTTGATTTGATGGATACCTAGATAGCTGATTGATTGATTGATTGATTGACCAAGATAGAAATAAATGACGCTGACTGTTTGTCTCAAATGGGAGCAAGGCCTTCCAGATTTTTGGATCTGTTCGTTAGGCAATGTATTTACTTTATTTTATTGTTTCTTTCGTCAATAACGTTTACACGAAAGCTAGCTAGTCCACAAACCAGCTATCGGGATCACAAATAATATATATTTTGACAATTCAATTTTGTGTGCACTGTGAAGATAGTTCAAACGGCAACAATGAAGGGCCCAGTGAAACTTGAATTCCGGGAGTGTTATCGGTCCTATGGAAGACAAAACTCGGGGCAACACTGCACTGGGTACATACACTGTAGGATCAGTTGGTACCGTACTAGTATGCCATAAAGGTGGAAACAATCCTGTGGATCCTTGGGTTCTTGGGCCCAGCCAATGAACCACCGGCAGCTGGCAGCTGGCAGCATTGCAAAGCTTCTTCTAGTAGGAAGATCTGTGACTAACTCCTTGTTGCTTGGGGAGGTCTCTCGAGTCAAGGCGAGAGGTACCGTACCGGTACGGTACCGGTAGTGCGTTTGCTAAGTCGAGCAAGACATGAAGAAGAAGTAAAATTTTTGTTGGGTTATGTAAAAATGAAAGCTTTACTCTGATGTGCTAGATCGCATAATATGTGTGTCTCCTCCTCTGCGCACCTGGCCGTTCCTCTTCATGGCACTGGGCCTAATGCTTTCCCTATGCAGTCGGCTCAACCTGCTTTTCTGGTTCAGGTTCGGGGCTCTGTTCTTGCTGGGGGCTGTGTTCCTCTGCCGGTACCTCAGGACTCTGTTCCTCTACAGGTAGTACCACAGGAACCGGTGGCGGAATAGGTTCCGAAACATCCTGGTCTTGACTGCTGCTAATCTTCTCCAGCTTCGCAGGACGATCATCCTCGGATTCGGAATCACTGCCGCAGTATTGGGCAAGCTGTCTCCTGCTCATTTCTCGCCCTTGAGTCACGTTGAGGTTGCGTTCAGACTAGAAACAAAGAGAAAACGAGGTCAGATGTTATTGGACAAGAACGTCAACGTGAGAGAACAACCAAAAGCACGAGCTTACCCGAGGATTGTGAATAATCTTGATACCGGTGGTTGGATCAGTCTTTTCGTCAAGCTTTTGTGCCCCACTAAATCCCAACCTGGCACTTCTGTTCGAGGCTTGCTTCGCTAGGCCCATCAACCCAGCCCGACTTGTCAAGCTGGTGCGCACGGGCGAACTGGACTCGGCACTGCTGCGAATCTCGTTGCTTGTTTCGTCAGTCGTTTCCCCTTCATGTATAGAAGAGACAGAGCTGTTGTCGGAGTCAGAGTCAGCACCACCCTTGGCTCCAGTGTCAGCGTACGAGTTCTCCCGCTTAACTCTATTCTCGATGAAACTGGAGTATGCCTTCCTCTTCTCCTCAGCAATGGCATTCTTGCGGTCGGCAATACTGGCCATCACCTTCGGGACATAGATCAACAGCAAGAATGCGAGCGACGTAACAAAGATAATACCCGTCTCCACAAAGAATTTCGCCTGCGGAGTGTCCCAGACGACAATAAGAATGGGAATTCCCATACACCAAGCCTGTAACACAGCTGCCATACTAATTCCGATGTAGCGACTTTCGAGGTACTCGGTCTCGATGTTTCGTGATTGATACGCCCACCAGTTCCCAACAATCAAAAAGAGAAAGTTGACCACGAGCAAGATAATAACGTAGGGAAGGGAGTCGTCTCCTGTACAGCTTCCATATGACTCCACCGCACGATCAAAGACATCAGTGGCATCCTTCTGCGTGCGAGTCCACTCTCGGGGGTTCAACACAGTCCAGCATGTAAGGATAATCATGTTGATGGCCAGCAAAAAGGCGAGCGTTCCAAAAATATCGAAGGACGTGACATGAATGAAATCCAACTCAGGGTTGGCATACGCCTGGGGTATTTTGATGAACATGACAACAGTGTTACAGCGCGCGTCGCAGCGAAAACAAATATAATGCATCCATACGTAAACGTACCTTGTGGATTCCGCGTGTCTTGGCGAACAATGCACTAAATGCAATGACGGCACCAATGATGTAGAGCCACGGTCCAGCCATGCATGCACTGTTCAAGGATTCAATTTCTTCGGTTACGGTCTCATCGTAGCTGAGAGGAATAATAGCGGAAACCATAACGAACGAACCGACGCTGACCAAAACCAGGAACAACGGCTGGGATGAACTGACAACACGTTCTTGCCAGAACAGACCCATCCAAACCAGCGACAAGACCGATGCCAGCATGACCAATGCCATCAAAACAAAGGCAGCAATTCTTCCCGCATCACCAATGTAGTTCATCTTTTCGTCGACGGGAGGCAGGGATTCCGGTGGATTCAAAGATCCATCAGCAAAAATGTACGGATTTCCAACGATTGACTTCCACACACCATTATCGTATCTCGCACTGGGCACGAGTTTGACTTGGGGGTTTCCATGTTCATCAGCATCCTCATAGGGTTGAATGTTCCAGAGGGCGTATGTCAAAGATTGGAACTCCCGAGTTCCGGTTTCGTTTGAAATACGCACGCTCCCCGAAGCTCCGGTGAAATTCAACTGCAGGAACTCATCGTAAATATTCGTTCCAGTGAAGAATTCAGTGCTGTCTCCAGCTCGACACATGGCCAGTGCCATCCCCATGACGGCATCGTAGAGCATGGGTCGGAATGATCCGGGCTCGTTACTAAAGGGGGCCTCCCTGTCGAATCCTTCAATGGTTTCCAGCGAGTTGGGAAGCTTCGCTTGGAGAAACTCGACAAAGGTGGAGTGGGCCCGAGCCTTTCTCCATGCGGTGCGGAATTTTTCGTATCCCGTCTCGGGGACGTCTTCGAGCGGAGCCACGAGTCCCAGTTTGGGAATAATGGGCTCTTTACGGACACCTCCTTCGACATTCAAGAGTCCCATTCCCAGCGTGGCTTTGGCCATCATGGTGTCTCCCGAAATCAAGGGTTCTACTGCAGTGCGTTCGAATCCTGGGAAGATCCACAAGTAGTCTGGTCCGATGATACCGTGTTCGAGGGCGGTCTTGACAATGGGCCGTAGATGATTTTCAAAGCAAATGACGTAGAACAGTCGAAACTCTGTGTGCTTCAAGTGATCAATGGCATTTTCAATTTCGTCCCCATTGAGATCGGCTGAGAAGGAAAAAGCCACGGAATCGGTCACCATTCCTGCATCATTTGCAGCATCCTGGAACGCCTTTTGCAAAGCTGATCCGTAGGCATCCTACGGGTAGCAAGAAAGAAAGGAGTAGAGAATTTGGAAATCAATCAGGAAAGCAAAAAGAGAAGAATAAAAACAAAGGGTCAGCACCATGAACTAACTAAACGAACTGGACATCTCCAGTGCTTGGCTGAGCGTCACCAACTCACCGTAACGAATAGGACTCCTACATGGGACGCTTTGATGGATTGAAAGTAGTCGAGTGCCACTTTGGCTTCTCCTGTGGAGCTGGTGACAGTCCTTCCAAAGAGTGGGAACTGTTCCTTGACGTCAAAATCGGTGGAAGACGAGGCGTAACTAGCCTGAGGGATTCCATTGACTCCCGTCAGAATTGCCAAGGGCGAAGTGGTGGCTGACCGGTAGGCTCCAATCACCGCAGTCGGCAATGGCGTTGAGAGAGTATTCTCCGTATGGAGCGACTCGGTAAAGACGCGAGTACTGCCAATCGGACTGAATTTGGAATCGACAATTTCCATGGTCAACTTGACATCACAGCCTTCTACGTCTTCTTCCGTGATAATGGGACTCATATCGAGATTGTTGAAATGGTAGACAGCCAACAAAGCAGCTGCGGCGTCATCTTGGTAGCCTGCTCGAATGGAAGCACCGTTGGAAAGCGGCAAGAAGGCTTTGAGTTCGGCCAAACGGTACTGGGTTCCATCCCCCAGATGAACTTGAAAGACATTACTGTCCTCCGACACAGACACGTCGTTCAGTAACCCAGAGTTGGTATCGCGGAGATTGTCGTAGTAGAGTGGGTCAGAGGAATCTTGGGCAACAACGCCCAGGACGAACCCTGCCACTGCAGCGAGAGATCGAATCGCTCTCATGGGAACAGAAAGCTCTTGTTGTGATTGTTTCTAACTAGCCAGGCCAGCTAGTGTTGCTGTTCTTGGTCAGGGAGACAATAGAATTGTAGAATGGTAACCCGTGGTATTGAAGGCTTGGAACGCTTATTAGCACGAGGGAGAGCTAGCTAGCTAGAGAGGTGTGGTCCTTGAAAACACTGTGTTGGTTTATCGACAAAGTACATGTATGTAGACTAGCTAGTTGTGCTGTTGATCATGAATCAAGCCCTCCTGGAAGCAGGCTTCTGTGCCTGCTGTGCTCTGTGCTGTGTTCACACTCTTGGTCTTCGTGGAATGCTGGAATGCTGGGACGCTCTGCAGCTGTGCCCCTTAAATGTGATTTTGATGACCGTGGCGAACTCCAGTGACCCAAAAAGAGAAGACATACCCCTAAGTGATTTTGATAAAGCCGGTGCCCCGCGAACCAAATACAATAAACATGGACAAATCAAAATCACGCCACCGGTATGAGAAGATTTATTAAGAGAACAGAAACAGGAAAACCATCCTTGATAAGCCAGCCAAGCTCTAAAAACGCAATCACCCGACAAGGCGAGAAGAAAAAAACTAACACCAATATTATTTATTCGAAGTCAGGCCGTGCAACCCCAAATAAAGCACCAATAAACCAACCAACCAATCGAGGATTAATCCCCCTTCTGTGCTGCTTCTTCTTGCAGCCTCCTCTTCAAAAGCTTCAGCCTGGGGCCACGAGGCATGGAACGAGAGGCGGATGATCCGGAAGCCGAACGGGAATCATCGTCGTCTGCCGAAACCGTTGCGGCAAAGCTCCGCGGAGACGACACGAGAGGAGGCTGTGGAGGAGGAGGTGGTGGTGGCGGAGGCAGGCCCACAGGCATATCATTGGGGGTAACCACACCCATGCCCATGTTTCCCATGAAAGGAGGAGGCGGTGTCCTAGTCGCGTGATGATGATGATGGTGGTGCATCATGGCATGTGGCGGTGGTGGAGGAGCCCCAGCCCAGAACTGTGGTGGCAACCCGTGCACTGGAATGGGCGCCTGAGGAGGCAAGGGACCACTCACCAGGCGCATCTTCTTCGGTGGGGGGACATCTGCTTCGCCCTCGACAACCCTAGGCTTTGTGGTATAGATGCCCAATCCAGGAGGTGCGGCATACGGATGATTGGCGCCTGCCAAAAACTCAGCATGTTTCCTCGCACCAAGACTTGAGGGAGGTGCAGACGCCTGGGGAGGCTGCTGCTGTTGCTTGGTAGTGTGGCTGTTTGCCTTCTGAGGCGACCGAAGGTCTGGGGCTCCCTCCCGTAGGGCCTGAGACGTCTTTTCTCGGGCCTTTGTGTTTCCGACATCCCTTTATTAGAAAACAAAGAAGGTGAGAGAAAACATCCACAACAAAGCTTTCAAGGCCACTTCTTTCTGAACTCACCTCCACGTGTTTGTCTTGTCCTTCCTGAGGAAACGGCCTCCCATGTGTCGGACCAAGCGAACAATCTTGGAGGCGATCAAAGGTTTGTCGCGTCGCTTGGACATGATGTAGAGAGGCTGATAACGCTTGACAAGTGTTCGGTACTTGACATTGCCACTGTGATGGCTGCAAATAATAATACAGATACCAGAACAAACAATTGAGTCGCCAAGATCTGTTGAACAAGCGATCAATTATCAGAACATCAGCCACAAACAAACTTACTTCGTCTCCCCACCACGTCCACAGAGAACATCGCAGTCCTGGACACGGGTGATAACCTCAGTGGGGGCTGGTGGAGGCATAGGAGGCCCTTTGAACTCCCCATCATCAGCCAAGTCCTCTACCATTCGAGAGATGGCCTCTGGCGACAAGGTTTCAGCCAAGGCCAGATCCTGAGGGGGTAGCGTGCCAGTGACAGGAGATTTGTTACGGGCACCCCCATCTTCATACATTGACTCACTTGAAACACGTCTTGGAACATTGACAAAACTCGATCTTGAGGGGATGGGCGCTGCTGTCAAGGGAGCGGCGTTGGCGCCGCTCTGAGGAGGTGCTCTACTCGCCGATGCTGGGTTGTCGCCAGCCTCCTTCCTCTCGCGCTCCAGGAAATCCACAGCCAAAGCAATACTTTCCAGGCCTGCCATATTGCTGTGTTGATTCGATTCTATTATCTCTCGTCTGGGTTCTTTGGCTTGGTTACTTCTTACTTGATCTATCTGAAGTCTAAGATAAAGGAATGGTTTTCTGTTGTTGAAGAGCTATCGTCCGTCTGGTGGCGATGGATGGGAAGTTGGGATCACCCAGGCAAGGGAAGTAAATCGTGCGCCAACCATACCACGATTCGTAGGAAGTACCATACTGTAGGCCTTACAGTAGATCTGATAGTGGTTTCCTTCCTTGCCTATTAGAAATATATTAATCTTGGGAAACTGGAGTGTCAACCTTCAGTACAGGTCGTCCAATCCCACTGGCATCAACGATGGTACGGTATGGTAACTAGCTACATCGTAGTCTATAAGAGACATTCACACATCATGTTGCAGCTAGCTATTAATAGTAGTTTGCTGGCCTGTTACAGTACTACCTACCGTACGCGTAGGAGTAGTTGCAATTGACTGCAAGATATTCAGTGCTTGGTTTTCTTCAGGCGAAAATTTGAAAATGGTGAATGTTTTGAGGCCATTGTGCCGGAGAAAGATCTGATCAACGATATCAATATAAGCTTTGATGTCGATGGGTGTGCAAGAGGAAAGCATCCCGCTGAATATCTTGCTTGTCTTATCAATATCCTAATGTTTTGGTGTTACTACGCTACTACCCACCGTACATGTACTCGTGTGGTGTCGCTGCCGCAGCTGTGGAGCGGGAAGAGCTGCGGGAAGATAGCTTTTCGATCTCATCAGGTAGATGAAATAAAAAATGATTTGTAGAAAAATATGACTTTTAACCCTCCATTTCCTGCAACTACCCTTTCACAAGCAGTCTTCCAAGTGGAGGAGTTCAAGCCAGACTTGACACCATTCGATGAAACGTACGAGAATAATCTTAACATCAAAGGAGGAATGGATCTGATGGCGTGCGTGTTGTTTCAGCAGAAAACATGCTCTCTGGCTAGACCACGATTCACCAAATCCTTTTTGGAATTTTACGAATGGTATACCGTGCATGTTCATTTTGTTTCCCATAGAAATCGACTACACTGTGTACGCTACAGTGTATCAAGTGTATATTTTAACAAGCTTCTACAGATATTGCTCACGGGAACCAAAATGTCTCTCACAACTGAAGCTTCAAGCAAGATCAGAACGCTGCCAGGCTGCCTACGACAACCCCAGTACAGCCAGCCCAGTGGGACAAATTCAGCGTTTGAATCCCGGACAAAAATGAGTCCAATGATTCGATTTTGATTCACACAATTACCGGTACCAGCAACCTCGATTGAATGGTGAGGGCGCATGCGCTGACTCTGACTCGACTCGACTCCATCACATGTGACTGCGAAGACAAGTTGGCTTTTTTAGCTTTGGACTGGTAGCCTGCATTGGAGAGGTTGAGTTGAGAGTTGCAATGGCTGCCAATAGTTGTCGAGAGCCTCGATCAGCAGCAACCACACCACCATCCATTCAGCCAATACAACGTGTAGCAGGAAATGCTTTTTAAATCAGTCTGTAGTTCAGTTCAAGTGCTTCCTAGCTAGGCAAAAACCAGCACACACTAGACTAGCTAGGTAGATAGATAGTAAATAATAAATTCAGGTATGCGACATTCGACACAGCCATTCTAGCTTTGTTGTTGTTGTTGGGTACAGCATTGCACCGAGCTACTAGCTAGACAGCCAGCCCAGACAAAAGAAAAATACTTGTCTTTGGATGCATGTTTTTGGACTTATTACCGGTTCAGTCCAGACCTGCTGGAGGAGGGCCAACAGAACGATTGATTGAATCTTTGGCCACCAGCCTATCAAACCCATGGCTGCGAAAGGTTTTGAAGCCAACTGAAGCATGCTAAGCATGATCTTATCTTGGTTGCAATGCTGCGCGGTGGGTCGGTGCTCGTAGCAAGCGTTCGACCCAAAGCTAGAAAGAGGTGGTGGCAGGTAGCACGACATTACTGTTTGGTGGTACTTGCTAGACTTTCCCACTTGCAAATTGCTGGCTGTAGATTCCTTTGAAGGGTGCTCTTCCACATGCGTTGTTTCGGACAACGTGCGTTGGCGCTGCTGTTTGGTTGCTTTCGAAAGGAATCCCCCAAAGCTGGAAGGGTCGACGCGGGACATGAAGAGCCGATAAATTTGCAGTGGTCTCTTTGGGGGACCAAATTTTTGGGGTCTTGTGTTGATATTTCTACCCCATTGCAGGCATCCTGGACAAAGGCCAGACGGTCAACGGTAGACGAAATATTTGCTTTATCCAGCCATGAATATATTTAATAATTTTTGGGACAGAGGAGCGCCTTGGGTCATATTTTGCTCTATGCCCGTTAGTTACTGTACCCGCAAGTTGCAGTGTTGCAGTGTTCGTTCCATACTGTGAAGCCTCATTCCTTGAGCCAGGACCAAGAGTACCAATAGACGATGGCGCCTCGAGAAGCGACGGGGACTTTCCCTGATCAGTTCTTAACCTTTGACTACGATGCTTCTATGCCGATGGGAGCTCCGCCACCACATGATCCTGTACCGCCGGGCCCAGTAGACGCAGACCAATCTGATGTGGATGAAGGAAGTCCAGTGCCTGCCAGGTGCGCAAGAAACGTTAAACCACGTAGGCTCTGGTACTCAGTCAACGTCGGAAGCTATTCGACCGTCGTCCTCGAATGCCTCCCAGATTGATCCTCTGTCCATTGATCCGACTCTGAACCAAGCGTCCCCGTGGTCTACGGTAGTAGGAGACAGACCTCCTTTTGTGCCTCACTTTGGCATGGAGAGTTCTGGTGGCGGCAGTGGCAGTGGTGGGACACCCGAAGGAACTTCAGCAGCTGGTTCGGCCTCTTCTCCCAGTGGCAGCGCGGCTGTCTCTATACTGCAACAACAACACAGCAACAACAACTTGTCGTCGACTAGTTCTCCAGTGGGAGGAGGCTCTGTCTTGCCCATGGACACTAATGGGAACTCTGACGTTTTGGCATCCCCGCTGTCGACGGGTTCTAGTATTTTTAATTCGTCGACTGCCCCCAATTCGCCCGCTGTCAACGGCCACCCGTCTGTGTCGCCTGTGCGATCCTTTCGGCCATCCAACTCGACCATCAGTACTGGCAACAACCCAAGCAGTGGAACCCCTGGGCCACGACGACTGCGGTCTCAAACCAACTTTCAAGTGAGATCTGTTCTGGACAGTACAACCTCTATGGAAAGTGACGACGATGATGGTCTGCCTGGACTGGACAGAACCTTTGACAGTCTCGCTTCTTCAGTACAACAGCTAGAAGAAACTTGGGAACAAGTAGACCAAGACCATGATGAAGAAGATGAGGACAAGACGACGAGGACGAAGTTGATGGAGATTCCGTGATGTGTCCCGACAGCCACATGTCGAGCAACGAATCGGCGGCTTCTTCCTACTCGAGTGAATCCATGAGAATGATTTATCGAAATGGAGCATTTGATATGTCAGCAGACGAGCCTTCCTCGCCACCCCCAGCAGCCACCACTGCTTCATCTGCTGCTCCCCCATCTCCAAACTCGATCATGCTATCATTTGGACCCAACACTACCGTTTCCGATCTCAAATACTTTGCCGAGAGGGGGTGCATAGTGGCCCTTTTACAGGCTCTTACCACACCCCGACTGGTCACGCTGGGGACACGCATGTTGGCAGATTATGCCAAAATGTCACACCGACGAGTGGCTGTGGCCAGCAATAGACGTATTTTGGAGTTTGTACAACGGACCATGCTGCAGGTATCGGAACATGCAGACTGGCTGGGAAGAGAGTACGCTGTCGAGACGATTCGAAGTTTGACGGCCACCGAAGAAAGCGATCGGTTTCTCATGGGAACGTATGGATTGCTCACAACACTCGCCTTGGTGGCACGAGGAGGACCCTTTGTCACACACGTACAAGACAATGGAGTTCGGTGTACGGTACCGCTGGCATCGGAAAAGGCCAGACTGCATGCATGCATTGCTATCATGAACTTGAGCTGCGGAAAGGCCAACAAGATTGAAATTGCCAAGGTACCAGATGTTCTAGAAGCCATGAGAGACGTCATGGTCAACTCCACTGATGAAGCAAGGCTGAAAGCAACCACATGCATCAAGAATCTTAGTAATGCCGACGCAAATGATTCGGCCCTGCTGGGGACACCAGGACTCGTCGAAGCCTTGGGACATGTAGCCGCTGCAACATGTTCGCCCGAAAATGGTGCCACTCCTTGTACAACCAATGCCTGCTTGGCACTCATGAACTTGTCCATTTCCAAGGCCAACAAGCACAGAGTCTTTCGAACCCCAGGCGTCATGGATGCTCTCATGAATGTCCTGGAGCGAACGACTGCACAAGGGTCCTCCACGGAAGCAAGGATCAAGGCGTGTTCGGCACTCTCCAACTTGGCCATTGGATACGACAACAAGATTCCCATGTTCTCGTACCCTTGCTTCGTCGATGCCATTCTCAATGTGATCCAAACTGATACAGGGGAAGCACGCACGAAGGCGTGCTCCATCTTGTGGAGCTTTGCGGCGGAAATGAAGAATCAAGTGCCCGTTGTCCAGCGTGGAGACATTCTTCCCGTCTTGGTGCAGGTTGCCGAAGAAGATGGAACCACCGAGGCGAGGTTCAAATGCGTTGCGGCCCTGACGTTGTTGGCAGAGTCGCTGGAGAATGCCATTCCATTGCTTGAGTCCGGTGCTCTTGCGCCACTCATGGATATTCTACATGAAGCTGGACCTGACCCGAACACAATGGAAAGGGCAGACTGCTTCGTGGTGTGTGGGATTCTTGATGAATATTGCTCAAAGCGATGAAGCCGTCCCAGCACTTCGGGAAGCTGGTGTTGTGGAGCTGTTGGCGCCTCTTTTGACTCTGGACCACTACCAGAGCCTCAAGGCGGCCATGGCAGTCACCTTTGTTTGCAGATACGATGAAGGCGACGAATGCTATGACCTGTTGAGAAAAACAGAGAACGTCATCCCCAAGATCATCAGCTTACTGCACAACACTTTGTCCGGACGAGGTGGCAACGGATACAAGTACGGAGTGTTCACACTCAGGTCGTCGGTAGGATGCATCTCTGCCTTGGCGTCCGGTCCCGATTTCATGAAGGAAAGGATTGCTACTGGTCCTGTCTATGAGAGTTTGTTGAGAGTAGTTACGGACTTTTGTGTCAATGGTGGCACTCCTGGCGCTATTGTTGGCGGTGGACGCGACGATGCATTGAGTGCCACACTGGCTGTTCGGGCTCTTCAATCTTTGACGGGACATCTTATCCCCATTGCCGGTAGCAGCTCACTGCCATTCGGTCAATCCATGGAAGATCGGCTGTTGACAGCACTGATTTCTTTTGAGGGCTGCCAACACGCCGAAGTGAAGGATTGCACTCGTCACCTGGCAACGGACGCCAAGATTCGTATCCAAGGCGGGAGGAAAGCGTCCATGGCCCCATCTGGTGGCTGTGCATCAATCCGAGACGGGGAAGTGGACGTGGGCTTGAACGACGTCACTTCAATAGCAAGTGGCTGCTGTGGGCTGGAGACTCTTCCTGGTATTGGAGAAGACCTGCTCCAAGCGTTGACGTCACCTGCAAGAAACGAAGACGGCAAGCCTGCGATTATTGCTCAAGCTTCCAAGAGGGACGCCAAGGACTTAGGGGGATCAAAGCTTGTTCGCACCTTCTTGCTTGCGGACTCTACCACTGGGCGAAGATTCGTTGTACCAACAGATCTCTCTCTTTTCC